CACGGAGGAAAGAAAGGTGCGTGCCGCATTCCCTCTAACAGTGCCCGCTGCTGTACACTCCAGGAACGGCATCCTGTATCTTTTGCCGTTTTCCTGTGTTCGCGTATACATAGGCCAAACAAGCAGGCGCATTAACATTAGGTTGTTGAAACACGGACGTTTTTTACAAGGGAATTTATACTCACATATGTGTCCCAACATGTTGCGCAGTGCCATTGCGCACATATCTTTATGAAGGAAAAGTTATATCGACACACACAGATCAAACCACACAGAAATAGTTGAAGCATATTGACGCGTGTGTACTGGTGGACCAAAACGACGATAAGGGGATTTGGCGGACACCAGGTAGTGGAGCTCTGGCTGATCGAAGATAAAGAAGGCGATCTTGCTGTTCGGCTGCTGAGAGTCGCTGTGTCAACGTTTATCTGCCTTTGGTTCGCACTGTACCGTGACAATATAACATAAAAAAAAGGAGGGTGGGCTGTACAATGCATTAGCAAGCCTTCTATAGCCCTATACATGATAAAAAGGTTAGGTTTTTAGATAGCATGATATCTTAATTTTCATGCTGTTGGAGAGTACACGTGGGATGCATGAAGGTTTTTTCATTGCTCGAAATGCCAGCTGGTCTGCTTTTTCTTGCATTAGTGTGGTCACATGGGTGTGAAGGTTGAAGTGTTCCTTTTTCGTTGATGTTTTTCCAATAAAAACTCAGTTGGGGGCCAGTGCTGTGGTTTGTCCCTTCTCTTGTAACCGCGTAGTCGTGTGCTGCGTTAAGATGTGTTCAAGTACTGCCACCAACTGACCCAGCTTTCACTACTTCGACATAAAGTTGTGGGTCAACCTGTAGGTCGACGTTTATTCAGTTCGCTTGTATGCAAAGCTCGCGAAGCCATGACGGATGCCGCTTGCTTCCGCGAAAGCATATTCCGTTCCAACAAACCATCACGTGCCGGCTACCCGGCACGAAATACTGGTCGCTTCACAAAGTCATTCGGAACGGGTTCAATATAACTGACGAATACGAAAGAGGACACCTGTCACATCTTGCCTATCATGCATGTTCGATAAGGCTTGAAGCTATATGCGGCGTGGCCCACATCCACGTTTCGTCCTCTTTGTTTCCGTCATGAAGCAGCCCGATATGGCTGCAAGAGCTACCCACAAAAACTGAGGGTTTTGAATAGACACCAATACTGCCTCCACACTCTCCAGCCAAGGATGCCACTGATCTTACGATATCGCAACGAAACGCGCCGCAAGGATAGACTAGTCCAGCTGGTGCTTCGACGATTGCTATGGTCAGATGTCGATGCTTGGTAGCCCGCAGGGACAAGACATCTGGAACGTTCAACAATACTATTTAGAAATGAGAACGCGTGAAAAACTAGTGCACTCACCGTGAACAACGTTTGCACGCGTATGCGGCCCGCCTTTCGAAAAATCGTGGATCGGGTGGAGCGTCAAATGAAATGGGTAGTGATGGGGGAACAGACTGCACACACACACACACACCAATGAAACGCAACACCACTCAGACGTTCTGCAGAACTAAGCTAACGAGGCGACTCCGCATGCCGTCTGCTTCCTCGAAACCACATTTCGGCTATTACTATCGGTCGTGAACCAGCTCGTCGCGAAATAGCGGTCTAGGTCGCTACGTCATTTGGAACAGGCAGAGGAAGGCTGACGAAACCGACAGAGGACGGCTATCAAGCTACTTTCAGCTATGCCTGAAGCTGTTTGCGTCTAAATAGGGGCTTTGTTTGCGTCGCCACACCAGCGCCGCGACCCGATTTGATTGATATGTGGGGTTTAACGTCCCAAAACCACTATATGATTATGAGAGACGCCGTAGTGGAGGGCTCCGGAAACTTAGACCACCTGGGGTTCTTTAACGTGCACCCAAATCTGAGCACACGGGCCTACAACATTTCCGCCTCCATCGGAAATGCAGCCGCCGCAGCCGGGATTCGAACCCGCGCCCTGCGGGTCAGCAGCCGAGTACCTTAGCCACTAGACCACCGCGGCGGGGTGAGCGCCGCGACCCGTCCTCTCCGATTCCGTCAAGGCCGTTGCACGCGCTTCCCGCACAGCCGCAACACACGTGCGGGGACCCCTACCGCACGGAAGCGGGGGACAAATAAGCCAATTGGCGACGCTCTTTCACCCTCTGCAGCGTCGCCAATTGGCTTATTTGTCCCCCGCTTGCGTGCGGTAGGGGTCCCGGCACGTGTGTTGCGGCTGTGCGGGAAGCGCGTGGAACGGCTCTCCCGATATGCGGCCGCAGCACGCCCGAAAAAAAATTCGGGCTCAATAAACCTGGCGCATTTTTTTTTCTTCGAGCGTAAACGAAACTCCTAGTGAGTGCTAATTTGAGAAACTCGACTAACAGATATTCCAAGCTGCGTACAACCCTCGCGAGCTCAGAATTCCCATCTTACTTGCTAACAGAAGACCAAGCACTCCGCGGTGAAGAAGGGTGTCCCTCGAAGAACTGTCCACAATGAGTTGAGGTTCTTTGTCCTGGCAACGCCACGAATTGGAGAATGTGCACAATGAAAAACGAGTCCATACGCATGACTTGCGACTTGGAAGTAGTACACTCATCCGGCTGCACGGAGAGCTTATATATAGCATATGGTAACGTCGTGAGCAAGTCAAGGTTCGGTGTATTCGCCGAGCGTCGCATGTATTTCAGGAGCTCGCATAGTGCAGGGTGGAATTAAACTGAAACAAACGTCCGTGTCAAGTTGGTAACCACTCTCGCACATGTCGAGTAGGCAGCAGTCTCCGGTAGCAACCGGAACTTATTCTCAGCGGCGTCGCCAGAAGGCTTCCCAGGCACGAAATTTTTTCGAAACGTTCCTCACATAATCGGCACGCAGGGTAGAACCAGTTCTTCTAAAGCACGCCGTTTAGAAGACGCAGGGTAACACGTGCGCCTCGTCAAGCGCAGCCTGTCAGCACGTAATGCGATGCAGAACTCAGCAGACAGATACAACAACGACAAGCTCCGAGAGGACAAAGAAGAATGACGGTCCTATAGAATCCGGAAAGGCGCTAACTGACCACGATGATTGCGATCTCACGCTGCTTGGCGCATGCGTCGACATGACCGGAAAAGTTTATACCCTTGCGCATTTGTCAGTCTTGACGTCACTGGTCGCTTGCCACCTCGATCGCGTTATAATCGCGATCAGCGCAACTGGCGATGTTCAAAACAATCTTAAGAGAAGATACAAGAGTCCTTTCACGCTGCGGTCGAACGTGGAATGCTTTAGAAGCTTCTCCCGTGTTCTTCAGTACCTACTGCATATTTAGCGCTGTCACCTTCAGTTGATCGATATAAGACGTTAATGTTTGGTAACGCCCCACATTAGCGCATGAGTGTTAAATTATAATCTGGACGTTGCTTTTACTTTCAGTACAGGCATGTTAAAGGTCTGCTTCTGGTATCCCAGAAAATTTGTGTCTTGCTACGAGGTGGCCTTTCTCATTCGCAGTGGTGCTCAGACCACGAATGTCGCCGCACGTTTCGAGTTCATTGACACATTGAGTTCCTTTTCTTTTTTTTTACGCCCCACAGCACGTTCATGAGACACTTTTGAAAGTGGATTCGTTCGGATAGATTTCGTGTGCGTAAATTCAAGTTCACCAGCGAACTCAAAGAACAGCTATATATAGAAACCAAGACGAAGACGCAAGCTTACAAGGAACTTATACCAACAACCCAATTTTGCTTAGTTTTCACATCTATGCTTACTAGGGAACAGGAACAAGAAACAAAGTATATAGGTACCACTTAACACGTAGACACTGGTTTGATTCTCGCTTGGTCTTGGCGGCCTCTTATCGACGGGGCCGACATTCAAAAACACCCGTGTATACGTACTTGAATGCAGATGCTCGCTATAGAGGATGGCCACACTTATTCCTTGGTGCGCCCCTATGCCGTGCCTCATATTCACGTCGTAGTTTTGATACGTGAAAGCCCCGAAATACATTAAAAAGATAAGCGTTATTAAATGGTTCTCTTTGACATACGTATGTACAATATTTCTACCTAATGAATGTGACGGCACGCTGATACAACAATCTCATTGTTTTGCAGTGCGGAAGGGCTTGGAAGATGTGACGCTCGCGCTGTTCTCCGTGTCAGCCTGTACATTGAGCAAACAAAGGTTTCTCAAGTTCAGTAATTTACCGAGAGCAACTAAATACGCTGCTGAAACACACCAGCATTTCAGGCTAATTCTCTCGTCTGTTCAGCTCGTTATGAGCGTTTTACGTATGCGAACAGGTTGATGTAATTATAATATACCGGGTTTTAGGCGCCGAAACCAATATGTGATTAGGCACGCGGTATAGTGGACGTCTCTGGAAATTCCCACCATATATGGTGTTCTTCAAAGTGTGCTCACAACGCACTTCACCTCAATCGAATTGCGACCACCGCGGCTGGTATCGAACCCACGACCGTCGGGTCAACAGCCGAACACCGTAACTACTGTGCCACCGAAGTGGACGAACACGTCGCTGTCTTCAACAAGGTTTACTGTGCGACTCCGGGATCTTCTTGTGGTGACAAGCATATATGAAGGTCTATGGTACCAACGGCTTACTCTCCAATAAGTTTATCTGCATTCCGGCTGCCATGACATTTTCTTGGTGTGCGTGAATCCAAGCTTTTGCGATAAAACTGATTGATTTGATAGATATGTGGGGGTTTAACGTCCCAAGACCATGGTTTATGAGAGACGCTGTAGTGGAGGACTCCGGAAATTTAGACCACATGGGCGTGCACCCAAGTCTGAGCACACGGGCCTACAACATTTTCGCCTCCATCGGAAATGCAGCCGCCGCAGCCGGGATTCGATCCCGTGACCTGCGGGTCAGCAGCCGGGTACCTTAGCCACTAGACCACCGTGGCGGGGCTTGCGATAAAACTGCAATATCGCGGTCTTGCTGCCGATATAATACAAAGGAGCGCAGTATTATAGTATAATGTATTTTATTTATAATGACACCGAGGTTTAATGGGCAGGTTCTCCATTCCCGGGCCTCACTGGTGAATGCAGACGCTATAGTCTCGGTCGAGAATGGCCGCTGGTCCTCCCACGCCGTGCTGCGAGGGGAATGAAAAAGATTATATTTAATTGATGTTTGCTGTATGGTGGAGCTTGTTAATTGATGATGATGATGATGATGATGATGATGATGATGGTAGATTTTAGTGGCGCAAGGGCAACTCAGGCCAAAGAGCGGCAAACACAACTCAAATTGGTATTCGAGCTTACGAAACATGCGTCAGCCGACAAGTCTCAAATGGCGCGTAGAATACAAGGATGGATTAATAACATCATAGGGCTCTTACATGCCAAAACCACGATATAGTTATGAGGCAAGCCAAGGAACGAAAGTTCCTTGGATACCGCCGTTATTCCTTTTGGGCTGTTGTAAATATGATATGAGTGACCTTCCAAAAATGCACTGCCGAGACTGTCACGTCAGCCTATGTACGCCCCCGCAATAGTCCAGAAACCTCTGAGGTGCAAGGTCCCTCCGCTGCAGATGTCTATAGTTTGTTGCGATAAAGCCCGTTTAGTGGTCTTCCTCCCTGGCAACATGATTGGTTTGTCTTTACCGTGCAATGCTCGTGGACGCCGTTTATGCTTGGGAATCCGTGAGGCCATTGGTTGATCTTCTCGTAAGGTCGACCTTTATGCCAGCGTTCAATAAATGCCTTTAAAAGCCTTCTTTTTTTTTCTTCTCTCGTCCTCGATCTACATTGCGCTGTTGTGGTTAACACATAATGTGATTTTGACGGTGAAGAGTTGCGTGTAAGGACGAAGCTTTCCGCTGGCTGGATAGGCGGGGTGGTGTCCATGCAATGCGCGTGCAAGATAGCGCATCCGCAGATAGCGCATCCGCTTTGCAGGTCAGCTAACCCGTCCGCCCTCAACGCTGCGCTTGTGTCGCAAAAGCTGGCCGGAGGTGCGCAAACCAAGTCATTCTCGTTGAACGCGAGGGCCTTCTTGAACGTGTTCACGGGCCAGCTGCCTGCACGCCTCATCGAACACTTCCGCATGGACAACACCACCTTCGCCGAGGCACGCAAGAAGCTCAGTGCTCTCAATGTCTCACTTCCAGGTATGCACGTAAACAGGCAATAATTGTTTTACGTACGGAAGGAAATCGCTGATGGCATTTGACGCCCGGAAGTAACTCGTACAGTGGCCGAAAGTGGCCGCAGGTGGACATTACGGTTGAATTCTTTGTCATCTGTAAGGCTTTCGAACGAGTGTATATATGTGGCCGCCGCAGGCGGTAGTCGAATTATGAACTCGTCAGCAGCAGCAGAGCCACGAGAATCATTCAATGCTTTACCATACCGACATTTATAAACGTTTGGGCCATACCAAACGTGCCATCGCAGGAGCTGTCATTCTTATTCTCCTGTCATTCTTATTCTCTTTCTCTATCTCTGCATGGTCAACGTAATAATGTAGCGTGGAAGTTTAATTATTGTTGTGTTCCAAGCATCCCTGTGTCACGAGCGAGCCTCCGAACCCGCGAAGGACCGGATGCTGAAACTGCTTACAGATGTTGACTCCTCCCCTTCCGCCGCTCGGCGCAAACGAGCCACCGTCGTTTCCCCCGGCAGTTCGGCCGCCGCCTCCATCCGAATAGAAATAAACTTGTTTTTAACCGTTCGAGGCTGTCTGAGCTTTTTGGACTACCGCGACCAACGCGTACGTCTATGGGCTGACGACAACACCGGACATAACAATTATGTACCGCGATCTTGTGAACTTACATACGTAGTGCCTTACGGAAGGAGCTGTTGTACCAATTCCGCTCATTCAAAGATTGTAGAGGGCTGAAACCTCTCTCTGCTTGGAGTCGTCGCTGAGGATGTTGTGCCCACACATCATGCAATTTATTTTTTTTATATTCAGGTTAGCAGATTAGAGGCCGCTGGCTTCCCTAGATTGGTCATTAATTGATTGATTATTATGTGGGGTTTAACGTCCCAAAACCACCATATAACTATGAGAGGCGCCGTAGTAAAAACCTCCGGAAATCCTGAAACAACGAAGCGATGATGTGCTTCCCGCTACGGCCTGCCTTTGGTCCCGAACTTTCCGGGTGTAAAAATAGTAAATAAACAGGTATTGCAATGTCAGTGGTCCCCAGCCGCCATTATCGTAAGAAACGTCGATGGTCATAATCGTACACATTCAATATTGACGAGCTGGCTAGGTTAGGCTCGAATGATTGTACAGACTATGCTCGCCCCCTCAGATAACTAAGGGGGGGGGGGGAGGCTTACAGTTGACACCTGGTGCGAACACCTGTGGCCTACGCCATGCGCTTTGGCGAGCGTCAATGTGCGTAAATACATGTTCAGTGTACGTAAGTACATACATTGGCGCTAATCCAGCAAAATCACGAGGGGAGACACAAATTAGACCATGGCGGACATTTTATTTTTTTAATGTGGGTTGCTTTATTTACACAAGAACTAAATAATGCTTCGAAATAAAATTAAAAAAAACGAGCAATACGTCCGAGCTCGACTAACTACATTGTTTTCTTTGAACCGATCGAGCGCCTTTTGAAACTTCTATAGTCTCACACAGCTAAAGGGTACTGAATACAAGTACACATTGCAAATAGCCAGCCTTTAGAAAAGGTGTATGCATTATACTAAACTGTCAAGTAAATTAAATATGTGATGTAGTAGAGCTAAACGTCAATGGGGAACCCTTGCAAGGCGTGTGTGTCCCCCTCCTCCCACAGCCTGAACACAAGAGAGGTCCGGACACCCCTGAGCCCCCCCTCCTCCCGCCATGATTTACGCCAATGATATACTGATATACGTTATATGATACTTCTAGATAGCATACAGTAACCCTATAGTTGTGACGGTTGGTCATTATTCTTGTTCATGCACTTCTGCAGGTGACCTGATGTCCTTGAAGTCGTTGACGCCGATGCTGGGCAACTCGTCCGAGTGGCAGCCCGGCCGGTCGACGCCGTTCCTGCTGAACGTGCTGTCCCTACGCGCGCTGCTGTCGCCGTTCCTGCTGGACGCACTCACGCGACCCGTCAAACTGAATGACAACGAGCTTGCGCCCTTCCTGGTCCCACAGAGGCTCACCGAACCCGTGCTACGGATGCACCTGAAGGCCGTTGCCGTACCACTGGGCGCCCTGACGCCACCCTTCTTCCACGAGAGCTTCCCGCTCGCCGTCAAGTTTGCAGGTCTCGGCCGCGGCTTTGTCGATGCCGCGCTCAGGTGAATTTCTCAGGTTCGTTCCGACCACAGCGCAGAAGATTTGGAATTATTTATTGCGATGATTGGAGCCCCGAAGATGTATGAGGTGTTAATCGTAGTCTAGGGTCATCGTAATAAACACAATTCCCTGGTTCCAACAAATAGTCAGAACGCTGGGTCTCCAGGTCCGAGTTACAGCTCAGCTTAACCCCAACGACAGCGTTAGTGTAAGGAGTACACACCCACGAGGAGCAGTAAGGACCACGTGGGTGCCGCAATAGACGAGGGTGCTGTATTCGATGTGTCGAAGTTTTAAACGCCTTCAGCGATCTCCGTGGATGTTGGGACTGACTATGGCGCTCCTCATCTATGCTGGCGCTACATTGAATGCCATGCGCTATTATCTTGGCAGGCTCGCCCACATGCTCACGCAAACGGGAACATCTTCGTGGTGACTGCTTGCCAAGACTTCAAATAAATACCAGTGCGGGATCGAGTCCACGTAGTTTTCTCGCGCGACCACATGATCGATCATCGACGCCGTCTTATTGGTTAAACAAACCGCCATGTCGTGTACGTAGAGCTGTCGGTCCCGAGGCAGAGTTCCGAGATCACGACGGACGGCGGTTCAGTTGGTGGTCCGAGAAGAGCCAGGCGAGATTCCACAACGCCACCCGCTGCCTGGGCCTGCCCGACTCCGAGGAGCTGTGGCGCGCTGCTGTGTCGGTGCGCGTGTCCTGGGACATCTTTAGCCTCCTCCGCCGGGCTGACGAAGGAAGCGCCCTCTTCAAGGTCGGCCTACCTTTCGAGAACGACGTCAGCAGACTGTTCTTCGTCACCTACTGCTTCTTCCTTTGCGCCAGGGAGGACAGACCACAAAGGCACGTCGTTAGCGCTCATTATTTACACGGTCAAGAGTTTGTTGTTATGCTGCCACAGCTAGGCGCGTCTGTGTATTTTCGCTAAGTAATTATCATAAGCGTACGCAACAATATAATAATTGTTGGGTTTTACTTTCCAGAACCCTTCTATGACTATGAGGGACGCTGAAGAAGTGTACTTTATGCACGTGCCTGCGTTTGTTCCTGTGTATATACATATGAATAAATGAAAAAAAATCTTGGATGTTTGACCCACTCCCCTGGCCAACGCCGGTGGCCGTGGGATCGAATGTGGCATGAACATGTGTCGGCCACATTACCAAGAATGCGAAATGCGAGAGGCCCGTGTGCTATTTAGGCACACGTTTAAAGAGCCCCAGGTGGCTGAAAATTCCGGAACTCTTCCACTACAGAATCCCTCATTAACATATCGGGGGTTAGGGATATGAAACAACAAGTATTGTCAATGGACTATTTTCAATACAAAGTATTGTCTTCATGCTATGTGCGTTCTAATGTAGTCTTTAAAAAATGCCTGACCTAATTCAAGCGTACACTTTTTTCACCAGGACGATAATGCATTCTATAGACACTATGCCTTATGTCACAGTTAGACATTGTATCTAGGTGAGACACTACGCCTTAAAATGTGTGCTGCGTGTGCCACGAAAAGTATGTGTGACTCCTTTGGGGTATTCCTGACTTGCCACGTATATGACACTATTTAAAGAGGCAGGTTAACTCTCTGGTAGGTCACACGACTCTCACAACTGAGTGCAATGACCTCCAATAAGAGGTGAAGTGTATTTTTAATAGACTGATACATAAGTGGCATTTGAGCCAGAACTCGCAAAAAAGGACTCAAAGGACTCTCTCTTTTTTAAAGTGACGCACTCCGCTTGCATTCATTCTATACGCAGGCCTTCCACGAGGGACCTGTGCAACGTACCTCTGAAGAACATG